GAGATAATCAGGTAACAAGCCAGAAGATAAACAATATGAAAAGAACTTAAATAAATAAATTTTATTTTTACATTGAATACATTTTTCCAAAATTAATACCAGCATATATTTGTAAATCCAAATACTTGTTCAACACGTATTTCAATAAAATACTAGACCCTATATCAGATTGAAAGCAAAATAATATCTGAAATATCCTGTTATTGAGTTTTTCTCTTTGATTTATAATAGCATGATTTTATTCTATGCCATAAGCTAACCAGCATATAGATTAATACAATGAGAATGTGAAGTATGTTTTAATGGCCATGCTTTTCTCCTTGCTTAGGAACTGCTTCTATTCTTTCCCACTGCATGAAGCTCCCCTTTTAGCACATCAAATATGCACATGCATTTCACACACTAATGGTGTGTATTTACCAAAGCACATTTCACTTTCAGCCTCTTACAGAGGGAAAAAGAAAAAACCTCAATATATGTTTAGGTAATACAGTAAAATCTGAATCTTAAAGTTCAAAACACTTTAAGGCCAAGTTAAAATAGACCTACTAGAAATGTTGAAATATTAAAACTATTTAGAAATTGGTAAAGCAAAACTAAATAAAACCCAAAAATTATCTAGGAGTTTCCTTAAATTTAGCTGTTTTGTTTTACTAAAATCAATGAGAAAACAATAGATTGTAAGAATCCTTATATATAGATCTATAAGTTTAATTTTAAAATTATTTTAATCCGTTTTCGTGCTTCTGGTAAAGACATATCTGAGACTGGGAAGTAAAGAGGCTTAATTGGACTTACAGTTCCATAAGGCTGTGGAGGCCTCAGAATCATGGCAGGACGTGAAAGGCACTTCTTACATGGCAGTGGCAAGAGAAAATGAGGAACATGCAAATACAGAAACCCCTGATAAAACCATCAGATCTCATGAGACTTATTCACTACCACAAGAACAGTATGTGGGAAACTGCATCCATGATTCAAACTGTCTCCTACTGGGTCCCTCCCACATATGGGAATTATAGGAGTACAATTCAAGATGAGATTTGGGTGGGGTCAAAGAGCCAAGCAATATCATTCCTCCCGTGTCCCCTCCAAATCTCACGTCCTCACATTTCAAAACTAATCATGCCTTCCCAACAGTCCGCCAAAGTCTTAACTCATTTGAGCATTAACTCAAAAGACCACAGTCCAAACCCTCATCTGAGACAAGGCAGGTCCCTTCGCCTATGAGCCTGTAAAATCAAAATTACTTCCTAGATACAATGGAGGTACAGATTCTGTGTAAACACAGCCATTCCAAATGGGAGAAATTGGCCAAACGGGGATACAGGGCCCAGGTAAGTCCAAAATCCAATGGGGCAGTCAAATTCTAAAGCTTCAGAATGATCTCCTTTGACCCCATGTCTCACCTCCAGGTCATGGTGATGCAAGAGGTAGGTTCCCATAGTCTTGGGCAGCTCCGCCCCTGTGGCTTTGCAGTATATAGCCCCCTTCCTGGCTGCTTTCACTGGCTGGTGTTGAGAGTTTGTGGCTTTTTCAGGCACAGCGCAAGCTGTTGGTGGATCTACCATTCTGGGGTCTGGAGTACTGTGGCCCTCTTCTCACAGTTCCACTAGGTGGTGCCCCAGTAAGGACTCCGTATGGAGGCTCCAACACCACATTCCCCTTCCATATTGCCCTAGCGGAGGTTCTCCATGAGGGCTCTGACCTTGCAGCAAACATTTGCCTGGCCATGCAGGCATTTCCATGCTTCTCCTGAAACGTAGGTGGAGGTTCTCAAAACTCAATTCTTAACTTCTCTGCACCTGCAAGCTCAACACCGTGTGGAAGCTGCCAAGGTTTGGGGCTTGGACCTCTGAAACCATGGGCTGAAGTATATGTTGACCCCTTTTAGCAATGGCTAGAGCAGGTGGGACACAGGGCACCAACTCCCAAGCTGCACATAACACGGGGAGCCTGGGCCCAGCCCATGAAACCAGTTTTTGTTTTGCCTTAGGCTTCCAGGTCTGTGGTGGGAGGGGCTGCCATGAAGACCTATGACATGCCTTATAGACATTTTCCCCATTTTCTTGTGGATTAACATTAGCATCCTTGTTACTTATGCAAATTTCTGCAGCCAGGTTGAAATGGGTTTTTATTTTCTACTGCATCATCAGGCTGCAAATTTTCTGAATTTTTTTGCTGTTTCTATTTTAAAATGGAATGCTTTTTAACAGTACCCAAATCACTTTTTGAATACTTTGCTGCTTAGAAGTTTCTTCTGCCAGGTACCCTAAATTATCTCTCTCAAGTTCAAAGTTCAACAAATCTCTAGGGCAGAGACAAAATGCTACCATTCTCTTTGCTAAAACATAACAAGAGCCACCTTTGCTCCAGTTCCCAAAAAGGTCCTCATCTACACCTGAGACCACCTCATCCTGAACCTTATTATTTATATTACTGACAGCATTTTTGTCAAAGCCATTCAACAATTCTCTAGGAGGTTTCAAACTTTCCCACATTTTCCTGTCTTCTTCTGAGCCTTCCAAACTGTTCCAATCACTGCCTGATACCCAGATCTAAAGTCATGTCCACATTTTCAGGTATCGTTTCAGCAATGCTGAAATTGATACCAGAGTGGGTCGACTGGTATCAATTTAGTGTATTAGTCCATTTTCACACTGTGGATAAGGACATACATGAGACTAATATGAAAATGAGGTTTAATTGGACTTACAGTTCCACATGGCTGTGGAGGCCTCAGAATCATGGTGGGAGGTGAAAGGCACTTCTTACATGACAGCGGCAAGAGAAAAGGAGGAAGATGATAAAATCATAATATCTCATGAGACGTATTCACTACCATAAGAATGGTATGGGGGAAACCGCCCCCATGATTCAAATTATTTACTACCAGGTCTCTCCCACAACACATGGGAATTATGGGAGTACAGTTTAAGATGAGATTTGGGAGGGGACAGAGAGCCAAACCATATCAAAAATTAAATGACTTACCTCCATTAATTTAATTCAGAAATTTAAATGTATTTTATAATTACTATAAATGTACATAACTACAAGAGAATGGATAAGGGATGGGGGAGTCATACACATGACTTTATAGAAAATAGATTGCAATGTAAATCATTTTAATGTAACATTTTTGCATTTAAATTAAATTCAGGCGTCAAACCTATGTAATCATTGAGTATTAGCTTGTTAAGAGGTCCAGCTAGACCTTCTAAGTTGACAAAGGGGGAAAATTTTATTATGGAGACTTGTCAAATGAAAATATTTAGTGGCATTTTCAAAATCATTTAGCAAAAATATAGAGTATCCAAATATTTTAATTCAGCATTATCTAGTTTCAAACTGCTCACTTTTTGAAATTGATTTCATAATGTTAAAAAATGTAATCCTCTCTACAAACAAATGTGACACTTTAGATTTGAAGGAAATCCTGGGTAAAATTACTTAATAGCTTTTTCTAGGAAAACCTTTGATGCATGAAGGCAAGGAGAACCAAAATACATCTATGAAGCTTTGACACTACCCCATCTCACAACCATTATTTCTAGTCCATAATCACTCTCCATCCAGTGTAGTGTTTATTTTGGTGCTCAGCCATCTACTGTCCTGAAATGTTATTTGAAGATTTTAAGTTGATATTTATGTCTCTGGAGTAAAACAACTTTTGCTCTACCTCAGCTACTAAATAGTAATAATTGTTGATTTTATTAATATAAACCATTGCCCTTACTGACACAGGTAAGTTTCATTTCCTACTTTCAGATGCCAAATACCTTCCTCATTAAGAGATAAAATATGGGTTAAAATATGACTGTTGTTTCTCAGCACAAAGTATATTTAAACTGAATTCCTTGAAGGGAGGATCTGGGTCTTATGCATCTTTGTTTTTTTCTGTGCCTGGCAGAGAGGTTAGGAACATTATTGGTGGCTCAACATATTTTTTTTTTTAGGGAATGGGTGAATTCATATTTTATTTTCATTTATTCTATTGATAAATTTTAAATTATTGATAACTTTTATGTCTACATAAACCTGTTTATTTTCTCAAATGGTAAATGTTTAAACTGATGGTCTCAAAATAATACTGCAAAGGCATTTTAATTTAGGCAACTTGGAGATATCAGCCATAAATACTACAAAACTTGAAAATCATTCATTTTAAAAGTTACTTTGCCTTCAGTGTGAATTACTGTTTATTTTAGAATATATATATTATTGATACCAAGTTCATGGTATATTATTACTTACAATCAAAAGGATAGGCGTAATAACAAACCAGCAAGCTCTCCACCATAGCCAGAATATCCACCTCTTTGCTCCAATCATCATTTCTATATCCTCAATGAATCTGTTCCCTCCTAAAGAAAATAAAGAGTACATTGAGTGCTTGCCAATATTTTCTTCCAGTAACCATTGTGGCATCTATTATATTTCTGTGTCTAAACATTTTTCTGTATCACAACAATGAATCATACACTTGTAATTACCTTTTCTTCATAACATATTTTTGTCCAGTGTATTTTATTTTACTATTATAATAGTATAAAAATGAATACTGTAATTCGGTAATCATAATGAAAACGAATCAAACTAAACTGTCTTAGTAAAACTTGAAAATAATTTTATAGTTACTATTTACCATAAATTCAGATGATTCCTACTAGCTCCAGTATAGCTGCAATTAAAATGTCCCATCCAGCACAGCAGTGGTCAATCAGATGAACCCAGTAAATTCTAGCCTACCAAAAATATATTGATTACTTCTAATTTGATATTTTTGATTAATGAGGTATTCAAATTGAATCTATTAATTTGATCTTGACATATGTTCCTTAGTTTCACTTCCGCTAAAATGTGTAAAGGAATGTTTCAGAAGTAAACCCAAATATGGCTTTAAATGTATCAAAAATCTTTCAATCTATAGTGAGTCACTGGAAAAAAAAAAGCACTTAGAATAGTTGATTATCAGAATGATATGCAACGTCTGTATGTTCTGTAGTGGTTGCCAAGAAATGTAGCATGTGTTTAAAGTCTGTAATCTTTTTGTAACTGAGATAACTGTTCATTATTGGGCCTCATCATCTGCAAAGTAGACTTACTATAAAAGCAATAATCAAGAAAACTGGGCCAAAACCCAGAAAACTTTGATCTAAGTCATGCATGGACTTGTCACTAAGCATCCTCTTAAGCCTTGGTTTATTTAGTTAGGTTATAAAGTATGTTCCAACTAACAATTTGTCTATGAAAAAAAATGTTGTAGTATACCGGAGTCTCACAGATGAGACCAAGGAGAAAAGAAACAAAGCAGCAGCCCAAAGTTATGGAAACCCTCATTTTCTTCATCACTTTGGGAAATAAGTCTTGAATCGTTGTTGTGATCGTTTCTTCAGAGGGGTAGAAATGACATGTTATATGTCAACTTATTTGCCAATATTGTTAATCACATAATTCAATGTACCTTAATCAAATTTACAAATACATGTTGAGAAGAGACTCTGAGCCCTGCTCCTTGCTTTTAAAAACCCATAGGGTTATTTCTTTTGACAGTCACCACTTGTTCTGATGAAAATCAAATGCAGTTCTATTTGTTGTTTTTAGTCGGCTTTATATGATTTTTCACTGATAGCAATCGTAAGGTAACAGTCCCCTGTGAGCTGAATTAGTCTAAAAGGAAGGATTCTAATAGGACTTTTAAATAAGGTAAATATTTGAATCAGCAGTATGGAGACAGAAAGAATTTTAGGTTTAGAAATAAATATGTCCATGAAATAGGGAACTGGCCAAGAGTAGAAAGATGTGTGAATGAAAATATCAGAAAAGATGTTTGTGATTTTCAAGGACTTTAAAAGTCAATCAGAAAACTCTGGGTTTTATCCTATAAACAGAGTTAACTATGAAAATGTTTTATGTGAGAGAGGGGTAGGATGAAATTGTTTTTCAGAATTTCTCTAGTCATGTAACCTAGGTAAATTCCTATATGTCCACAGAACTATGTGCAAGTATGATCATTGCAGCAATGTGTATAATTTGTTTTTTTTAAATAAAATAATTCTAATACCCATTATTATGGTAACAAAGAGATTGTTATTTAATTTGATCTACATGCCTATGTATCAACTGGATTCATAGTTAATGGAAAAACAACTTTCAGAGTAATACGTATGCTATGAAACTTCACATTTATGTGAAATCTTAAAAATATTTATTTATGAATACATGTAAAATGGATATAAACATGGACAGAATAACATACACAATCCATGGTAACAGTTGCTTCTAGAGAAAAATGTGAACTGTATAAGGGAGATAAGACAGAGGACTTCAAATTCACCTTTAACAGTTTATTTTTTAAAATATCTGAAACAAATATGATAAAATATTAATGTGTATTCCTTTTGAGTGTCAAGTACTTTTCTGTGTTTAAATTTAAGTTAAAACATCTTTCAGAAAGGTCATTCCAAAATTAACAGCTAGGAGGACAATATGGGTCATAAAAGCCTGTTTTCAGGTAGAGGAAACACAAATGAAATATAAGACGGAAATGGTAACACTGACAATATTACCAACTGAGAATCGAGACCCAAATTTAAAAGCTTGAAAAAAAATCCAAAACGGACCTCCTGGTAGTTTGACTAGAGCTTCTGGATAGGCAATGAATGCCAAATCAAAACGTACAAAAAATGTATGATATGTTAAATTAGTTACCAAGAATGTCCATGTATTTAAACATTTAAAAAATAAGATATTAGAAAAATGTCATCTTATTTGGCAACACAATCCATGACACAAATTATTTACGAACTATTTCACTTTCCTTTTTAAAAACATTTGATTTGGTTAATTTGTGCTTTAAAGTTAGGGAGTTCACTAAGATTTCTTTAAAGCTGTACACTCAAAGTCACTTGACTCTCTTACCTTTATGATGTTCATGTGTTTTAAATATTCAGACTCAATACTGTAACTGTATATAAAGAATTTGTATATACATTGTCTTTCTCTTATAATGCATGGGAAGTGCCTAGCATGATGCCTGAACCTTCTGGTTGTACAGTAAGTGGTTTATATTAAGGACTAAACAAAATCTGGGAGAACATTCTATTTTCGTAAGCAATGTTTTCCTAATATGCTCCTGTTTACATGGATAATCTAAGAATTATTATATTATTAAATTAAAGCAACCAAATTATATAAAACTATGATGGTTAACACTGAGTGTCAACTTGACAGATTTGAAGGATGTAAAGTATTGATCCTGGGTATGTCTGAGGGTGTTGCCAAAGGAGATTAACATTTGAGTCAGTGGGCTTTGGAAGGCAGACCCACCCTTCATCTTATGGGCACAATCTAATCAGCTGTCAGTGAATGTAAAGCAGACAGAAAAACGTGAAAAGGTGAGACTAGCCTAGCCTCCCAGCCTACATCTTTCCCTTGTGTTGGATGTTTCCTGCCCTCAAACATCGGACTCTTTTAGTTTTGAAACTTGGACTGGCTCTCCTTGCACCCCAAACTTGCAGACAGTCTATTGTGGGACCTTGTGATCATGTAAGTTAATACTTAAGAAACTCCCCTGTATATACATATATATATATATACACACACACACATACACACACACATATATACACATATATATGTGTGTATATATACTTTTTTATACTTTATACACACACACACACATACATATACTATTAGTTCTGTCCCTCTAGAGAACCCTAATGCAAAGACAAAATGAAAAAGAAAATGCAATACTCTAAATTATAACTGTTTTAAGTAAATTTCTGTCAACTATATTAGAGTTTCATAAGTGAGATACATTGAATTAATGAAAGTTGATAATACATGGTATGATATACCTGATTTTACAACTTGAGAAAATTCCTTTCTAGATATATGAACCATTTGGCCCAATATAGAAAAAACAGCAAATCCAGCTAACACACTAGTGAGACAGTTTGTAAAAAAAAAAACTACCATGACATCAGAGAAGCGGTTTAGAGTACAGATGGTGAGGAATAAAAAAAATCTAAAAGAAACAATTCTCAATGCCAACAAACCCAAAAAAGAAGTTCTGTTGTGCTGTGTTGGAGAGTAGAGGGGTGAGAAGATTAAATTGTATGTTTCACAAGGAGCTTTAGGTTTCACTCTGATTTTTTAAAGGTATTAGAGACAGTGAAACAGTCCAATATAAAAGTATCATATAAATTTTTCAGAATGATTTCAAGGAAGTAAAAAACCCATATATCTTGGCTTTTAAAATCCACTAAAGGAATATCAAACGTGCTTTCCAACTATGCTCAAAATCATGAGTTTTAAAGAAAATGGTGAATCTGCTTCTTAGGGAAAATGTTGCAACTATAACAAGATAGTTTAATATAACAGAAATAACTGAAACAATTGTACATTAGTTCATATTTATTAAAAAGTTTACTATTTCCAAGTGCATTAACATATTTTATCTTGTTCAATAACCAAACATAGAAAAGGTGATGAATCCCAACTTCCATTTTATTTTTTATTCACCATCCAAAATGGTCTTCAAATGGGGAAGAGATTAACCAACAGGGATACAAAGATTGAGGGTCAAGATAAATGAAGAAACATATTAAGATGGCCTATGGACACATCAAAGTATATTAAGCTACAAGACTATAATAATAAAATTCTGTAGATCTAAAATGATTTTGGCGATGGAATGCTTAATCCATGTCATATTTATGTTTTAACTTTACAATTCACTAGGAAAAATATGACAAACTTTGGGGATATTAAATTTTGAGGAAAATTAAAATGTATACTAAACCACTAACCTTTCAACAGTAATCTCTAAAGCTACTATGAGTTTATCCGATAAATCACATAGTCCTAGTCATCAACTTGCAGGTATTTTTGAATGAAATATTATTTTTCAGATTAGTAAGTCCAAAATTTTGTTGGTCAAATAGAATTCATTTACATGAATAAAAAATGACTTTTAAAATTCTATTTCTGGCCTAGGGCAGTAGCTCGGCCTGTAATCCCAGCACTTTGAGAGACTGAGGAGGGTGGATAACCTGAGGTCAAGAGTTCGGGACCAGCCTGGCCAACATGATGAAACCCCGTCTCTACTAAAAATACAAAAATTATCCAGGCATGGTGGTGAGCCTGTAATTCCAGCTACTTGGGAGGCTGAGGTGGGAGAATTGTTGTATCTGGAAGGCAGAAGCTGCAGTGAACTGAGATCATGCCACTGCACTCCACCCTAGGCAACAGAGAGAAACTTTGTCTCAAAAAAAAAAAAAAATTCTATTTCTAAAAATTATCTCACTATCAATAAAAGAGCATTAATGGCATGTTAAATATTAGCTAAATCAGACATCCTAGTGGATCGAAACTAGTAAGTTTAGCTGTATTTTTTAATGGAAGCTACTACATTACGATATTCATATGGAACCAAAGACTTTTGGCATTTGCTTTTAAGATTTACCTACTCAGATAATCTGAAATCCAAGTTAAGACTCACCTCAGCTTCCCTAAGTTTTGTGAAATTTGACTGTGCTCCAATATAGTATGAAATGCCTTTTGAAGCACCCTCCAGAGTTGCACCTCGTACTAACAAGATCAGTAGGACCACATAGGGGAAAAGAGCTGTAAAATATACCACCTACCAAGAAAAGTAACCAAAAATTAAAAGTTATTTTAAAAATCATGATATATAATTGTATACAAGTAAAATTATTAGGAAGTTGACATCATTTAAATAAAGTACTGGGATTTCATAGGGTCTGATGATATACCAAAGTTAGCATAATTTCTTATTTGTGTTCTCACCACTCTCAAATGATCCATTTAAAAAGCACTTTGATGTGTTAATCAGCATTTCCTAGGTTTAGGTTGTAAATAAATAATACATCAGCAGTGATAACATGGGATCTAAACGCAATACTTTCCTAAATATATCCTTATACGTGTCTGAGGAGACTGAATGTCTTCTCTCAGTAAATTACTGCACTGAGATGAGGAGGCAAATGATTATAAACCCTGCAATGGTTAATATATATTCAGCCTTCAAGATGAAGGAAAATATTTTCTAGAAGATATCCAAATCCCAGAAAAGCATATTGAAGTGAATACTGGACACTTGTTACTGTTATCCTTACAGCTACCATTAACAGAGTTTGATAGCACACACGCAAGTGCACTGCTTCTGTACTAGATAACACCTGGTTTTCGATGAGCAGATTGCCTTTGAGACCAGCTTTGCCTTAATATGGATGTTTTCTTTGATCCATAGATGTCCTATGTTTTATAATACACCCAAGGAGACAACGTTAAAAAGTCATTCAGAGACCAATAAAAATTAATTGCCTGGATAAATGGCCTTTAATGGACTCTTCCAATAT